TTCAAGTTGTGCAAAATATGGGATACTAACCATTTCATTGGATTAAATTTATTCCAAAATTTTTATTGTGTAATCTAAAAAAAAAATTCAAAAGTAGACTGTTAAATACAAGATGTATGACAACATACGAAGCTGCCAAAGCAAGTTTGTAAAATATACTGATCAATTATTGAATAGCTTGTATCTAAATAAGTGTTAAAAGTCAAGATCTATGAATCTGGTTGCATAATATATTTAATGAGCGCTTTATCAATTATTCAAATAATTATATAGGCGGGCCTGGTCGAAGCAAGTGTTAAAGTCAAGATCTATTTGCAAATCAAGTTTCCAAAACGAACGTTTATTATTATAGGCGGGTTTGATCAAAGTAAGTCTTAAAGTCGAGATCTATGAAGCTGTTTGTAAATGTATTTAATTAACGTTTTATTATTATCAATTATTCAATAATTATATAGGCGGGTTTGATCGAAGTAAGTATTAAAGTAGTCGAGATCTACGAAGCTGTTTGATAAAATATATTTATCAACGTTTTATTATTATCAATTATTCAAATAATTATATAGACGGGTTTGATCGAAGCAAGCGTCAAAGTTAAGATCTATGAAGTCTGCAAAATGAATGCTTATCAATTATTCAATAATTATATAGGCGGGTTTGATCGAAGTAAGTATTAAAGTAGTCGAGATCTATGAAGCTGTTTGATAAAATGTATTTAATTAACGTTTTATTATTATCAATTATCAAATAATTATATAGGCGGGTTTGATCGAAATGAATGTTAATCAAGATCTATGAAGTCTGCAAAATGAATGCTTATCAATTATTTAATAATTATATAGGCGGGTTTGATCGGTCAAGATCTATACAATTAGATTGTTAATAGTTAATAATGGAATTTTATTACATACAAAAAAAAAATTTTTTTACAAATTTTGTTTTGTTAAATAAATTTGTTTGATTTTTTCATACGTCGTTCATGTTTTGTCTTGATCGTATATCTTAAATTGGTCGCGTTTACAATCATTTTGCATTCGTTATATTAAGGTTATTTTGATTATATCGAGAGATATGGTCAAGAGAAGAGTTAGGAAGAGAGTTATTCTTCAACCAAGTCGAAAACCAACCCTTTAAATACATTTTCGAGTAGTACGATTTTAATTTATTAGACTATTTCAAATGGTTGCTTCCAACTTCTTAAATTCGAACCATTTGTTAACAAAACAACTATTGGTGAAGTGATTGTTGACAAAATGAATCAATGTTTTATATTAACGTTTATTTTTACGTTATCAAATTCACGATTTGATTGGTAGATCAACAATTGCGTGGGTTAAAATCATTTCGTAGACATTCATTATATTAAGGTTTTTTTGATTATGTCGAGAGATATGGTCAAGAGAAGAGTTAGAAAGAGAGTTGTTTTTCGACCAAGTCGAAAACCAACCCTTTAAATACATCTTCGAGTAGTACAATTTAATTTATTAGACTATTTGAAGGTTTGTTGCATGCTTTCTTCCAAATTCTTAAATTTGAACCATTTGTCGAATATTTTTATTAACTCTAAATAATTCATTTATTTTTTTTTATTTTTTTACGTTATCAAATTCACGATTTTGATTGGTAAATCAATGATTACATGGATTAAAATTTTGTGTTAAAACATAGCTCACATGATCGTTCTCTTCTAAATCTTTAATTAGTTTCGACTAATAAAATAAATAAACATTTATTGTCTTTTTAAACCAAAATTATCCAATAATTAAACTAATATGTTAGTAAACCTATTCATTCTGATCCACATAAACATAATAAACAATTGTTATCATCAATTAATTCAAACACACTGTAATTACATGCAAATTAACATGAATTGTTGTAGAAATGAACTATCAACGAAATAATTTTCGACGAAATGAACTTTCGACGAAATAAACTTTCGACGAAATGATTGTCGACGAAGTGATTGTCGACAAAGTGATTGTCGACAAAATAATTTTCGACGAAATGAATTTTCGACGAAATGAACTTTTGACGAAATGAACTTTTGACGAAATGAACTTTTGACGAAATGAACTTTTGACGAAATGACTTTTGACGAAATGACTGTCGACGAAATGATTTTCGTCGAAATGAATCAGACCCAGTAATTTACGGTTATTATAAAAGCATTGAATTAAATTTCATGGTTCCAGGACATACCAAATTCAAATGTGATGGTAGCTTTGGATTGATTAAAAAACTCTATAGGAAAACAAGAGTAGATTGTCTGGACCATGTGGTTGAGGTGATAAAAAAGTCTAGTCCAACAGGATTAAATAAAGCTCAGTGTTATGAAGGTGGAAAAGGCTTTCAATACTTAGATATTAAAGCTATTTTGGGAATTTATTTTAAGAAACTAAATGGTTTACAAAAGTATCAACATTTTCTTTTTGAAGCATCTAATCTTGGTGTAGTCAAAACTCAGGAAGTGACTAATGGAACTTTTACTAAATTCAATTTATTAAAAGCTAAGAAAACAGATATTTTTGAAGAAATTAAAACTTTATCTATTCTAGTATTGACACCACCTCTTTTGGATTACAAAAGGCAAGAATATCTTTATCATAATATTCGCCCATTTGTCAGAGACAAATTTAAAGATATTACTTGTCCAAAACCAATTTATGCTGACAATGAATAGAAAATTTAAAAATAAACTTTCTCTATTACTTCATTATTATGTTAATAAAATAATTATATACTTAATAATGCTTTTATAAAAAAAAAGATATTAAGTATTTATTAAAAATTGAAGAATATAATTAACAAAAAATCATGGTAAACATTATAAATGAACAACAACAAGCAAATAAAAACTCATTAGAAGAAATCAAAACATTAAAAAACAATTAGCTGATAAAGAAGAGAACTTAAACTAAGAATTTGAAATGCAGTTCATAGTCTTACTGAGAGTTCAGAATATACTGGTGTAACTTTAAGAACTTTAGAAAGATCCACTTGACCTAACAATGGTTGAGTAAGTTATCCAGAAAAGGATGGAATTGAAATTGGAAGAGTTGTTTTTAACAGTGAATTCACTGTTGAACATATTGTTCAAAGTTTTTCTAAAGAAGCACAAAATTATGAAGAAATTTTTAGTTTTACTTATCAAGAAAAACAAGAACTAAAAGAAAAGAATGCTATTCTAGAAAAAAGTGTTGCTGAGTTAGAGATAACCAAACAAGAGTTAGAAGAAGCATTAGAATTAGAGGAGGAAACATCTGAATGTCATTTAGATGCTCTTGAATTGGCTAGACAGTGGAGAATAAGACAAAGCAAAGAAAAAGATGACAACTTAGAAAAGGCTTGAGAAAAATAGAGTTATTAGAAAATGTTGTGGCATGACAAAAATATTTAGCAGACAAGCAACTTCAAGAACTGCCAGTTTTACCAAGGAAAGAAAATAAATTTAAACTCCTAACCAATAAACTAAAGAAAAAAACTAGTCAATTAAAAGAAATAACTAGAGAAAAATTTAATGCCTATATCTTACAAAAGAACAAATAGTATGAAATTAGAATACCAAGTTAGCGAGTTAAGGAGAGAGGATAAATGGAATTGTAACTTCTGCCCTTTTGAAAGAGAAAGAAGTCTGACTGCTACTTACAAAATAGTATCTTACAATAGAAGTAGTAATAATTACAATGATATTGCTTATATCTGTATAGAGTGTAAAAAAGCTCTTGATGATGATACTCTATCACATTGTAGTGATTGTGGTCGAATTATGAGAAACAGAATAGATTGTTTCTGTGATTTAAGGAAAGATGAACCAGTTAAAACTCCAACAATAACAGAAATAATGGCACAGAGTTATGTTGGTAGATTAGAACAGCAAAATAAAGACTTAAAACAGCAACTATCCAGTGCTAAGTAAGAAATTGGTTCTCATTTGGAAGCCTTAGAAGTTTCAAAAGTTTGGCATAGTAAGCAAAGGCAAGAATTATTAGATAAAGTTCAAAGACTTGAAAGTGATGTTGAGCAATTAAGGAAGCAGGAAACTCAACAAACTGCACAAATTGAAATTAAAGAAACTAAGAAATGACCTTGATTGAAAATAAGAAAGTAATTAAAGAATATTCTGTATAAAATGAAATTCATTCCAACTATCAAAGAAAATGGTAGTTATTTTTCTTCCAAATATTCTGTCTTTTGTTAGGTTTTAATACTCCTTCATTCTGATATCTTTTCCTAACATCCATTATTTTTCTTTCTTCTTGATAAATTTCATAGGTAATCTTTTCTTTTCTTAGATAAGCTTCAAGTGTTTGAGTATCATTTATTTTGAAAACATAAGGTGCAATCTTTTCTCCTTGTTCCTTCTTCAAAATATGTACTACTAATGGTGCTATAATTTTTGGGTTCCATGGTAGACCTAATGTAAATTAGCTTCATATTAATTATTTTTATATAGGGATAGTTCTATATATCACTTAAGATAACAAATAGGATATTATAAAACTGTTAATTGTAATCACATTAATCACCTTAAAAATGACTAAATTTTGATCCCTGAAATCATCGGTAATGCCAATGTTCACTTTGTCTGGTTTTGTTGCAGCATGCCCCATATAATAACAAATCATTGTATAGCTTGAGTCATCTAAACCTGACCAATTTTATGCATCATCTTTGAAAACCATCACATGGACACACAGAACACTTTTGGATTCAAACTCTTCATAATTTATGTAATAAAATGCCAAAGAATAATTCTATAAAAAGTTAGATGTAAAATATTTATTACTTAAAAAAGTTATGGTGGTTTGAATGTTAGTAACTTCCTATATTTTAAATAATGTTGACCCTAAATTTTACCATCTTTTCCAAGTATGATGGAAGTTGAAAAAAACATAATTTCCCAAATGCAACAGGCTGGTTAATCAAAAACATCACAGATACAATTATTTTTAGTACTGAAATTATAAACACAGAAAAAAAGTTGGACTATTGAACATATTTCACATAGTATTGGCAATACCATCAAATAAAAAATTACTAATAATGAATGACAATGTTAATTGCCCAAATGGGAAACTTTCTATTGCCTCAACACACTTTACAACAAATTCAATAACATACATCTTCATCTCAATATTCATTAGAGACACATGGAAAACAATACTAATTGAAATGGGGAAAATAAACAATATAACCAATAAATAAATTAAAAAATTAAAAAGAAAAAAAAACCAAATAAAAAAAAATATCAGCAACAACAATAATAATGTCAATAACAACAACATTAAAAATAATGATATAATAAATAATAATAAAAACAACAACAAAACACAAATATTTCATCAAAAAACTGAACAATCAATCTCAATATGGATCCATCAAGAACACTCCATCAACTTGGTAATATCAAGGTAATGCAATCCAAGGGCTCCTTGCCCAACACAAATTAGATTACAATCTAATTTGTTAAAAGGAAAGTATATCATGCTTAATGGTTTAAGTGTACATGGGCATTTAATCAATTACAAATATATATATAGAATTATTATTCACACATGTATATTTTTGTTCAGAAAATTCTGCACAAATTTATTCCTTCATCTAGAAAAAATTATATCTTGAAGTTTATCAACCAAATCGCCGCAATTGAAGATTAATTATCTCTTTTTGGTTATTACAACTGATGATCTCCTCTCCTGCCCATACTCTTCTTATTTGCGTAAATATAAATTTGAAGTGAAAGTAATGCTGCTTTTGAATAACTATAGCTTTACATAGAGAGCCTCTATCAGCATGAACAGAATTCATTAGAAAACTATAATGACTTAATTATAAATTTTTTTAAACCTGATTGGTTACACATCGAAATTTCTATATATTTTGTATGAAACAACAAATCGATAAATGATGTCAGAAGCTAAAGAAACGAATATGGAGTCAACAAATGATGTTTGAACTATCAAACTTTCATTGACTATGTTATTTTAATATTTGGAATTTACCATAAATCCAATGTATTGGATTAAAAATTGCATGCACCACAAGATTTCAGATTAGACATCATTCCATTTTTTGAGTGGTCGCACAGCTAGCAGTAGCATTTATTATTATTATCGCCGCCGTTATTCCTTTTTTCAAATTCAGAATATTTATTATAATGAGTTTCACAGTTCAAGAATCAGCAGCAACAGCAGAAAATTTAACATTGAACAACTTCAATTGTAATAATAATAATAATAATAATAATAATAATAATAATAATAATAATAATAAATTACCTTCTTCTCATTCACAATCACAATCACAGCATCACATCAACACTTCACTTCATCTCATTATTGATCCACTTCAAATAAATTTCACTGCCAACAACACTTCTATTCCTACTACTACTACTACTACTATTCACAATGCTAATAGCCTTATTAATTATGAGCTGACAGGTTTAAATTCTTTAACACCTCCAAGAAGTACCAGCTCAACTCCAAGTCCAGGACCAAGCCCACTTCTTCGCCCAATATCTTGTTCAATGACACCAATAACACCCTTAGCATTAAATAATGAAAATTCTTACTATGATAAATATAGCAACAATAATAATTGTAGAGAAAATGGATATTTTTTTAATTTTCAACATCAAGAACAAATAAGAAAATATAATGAATATATTAATGCTAATATTAATAGTAGTGATAATAATATTGGTGGTAATAATAATAATAATATAATTAGCAACAGTAGTAACTTATCAATATCTTCATCTATTAATCCTGACAATTCAACTTTAAAATATGGTAAGTTCTCTCCCTTTCTTTAATTCATTTGATCAATAAATTAATTAATTGACTTCAATTTAATTTTCTCCCAATATTTAAAATCAAAGAAGAAAGAGCAAAAGAGGAGGTAGAGGAGGAGGAGGCAGAAAAACAAGATATACAATTAAATGAAATATTGAATAAATTTAATAATATGAATACAATTTGACTTTTATAATCAATATTGAAACATAATAATAAATATTCTTATTTGTAAATATTATTTTGTATTTTTTATTTTGCTAAAATATTTATTTATTATTTTCTAGAAAAAACCTGTGTATAAATAAAATTTGCTCTGTATTTTACAATAAATATATTTTAAACAGCTATTGATTTATCAACTAATTGTCCGACATTATTATTACACTGGAATTCATCCTAATAATAATAATCATATTTAGTTAACGATAAATCATTCCATAATAAATATCAAAATAATAATTTGATCACTTACTAAATCATATATTACGCGAACCATCAATGAACAACTTGGACATCGTGCAATGTCTTCTCCATCCATTAAGTCTTCCTATTTATACAAAATGTAATTATTATTAATACTTATACATATATATTTATATATATATTTATATATCATCATCATCGTTATTTTTATTATTTATTATTATTATGGCTATACCAATGTGATTTCAAAACGGTCTCCACACGGACAAGGATAATGATATGTTTTTGTTTCTTCCTCAAATTCAAAATCTTCTAAACATTATTTTCGGAAAATACAAAACAATTTAACAAATGAATCAAATGTGGAAAATTCAAATCAGCGAGATCAAAAACTTTACCAATCTCTACTTCATCATAAAAACTTGTCATTTTAATTAATAATTTACTATGTGTCCTTAGTAAAAAGTGAATATATATGTGTGAATGAATGAAATATGAGAAGAGGAAATGAAAGAGAAAAGATTGATTGATTTTTTATTGGTCAGGGATTACCGGAGTAACATAATAAAACTTATATTTGAAGTCACACGAATATCAAAAATTTGATTAGTAAGTACTACCTTTATATTTATAATTGTAAATAAATTTATTTATAAATTATTACAACTTTCCTATATATATATATATATATAAATTTTTTAATTTGTTTGGTCAATCAAATAACAAAAAAAGAAATACACAAGAAAAAGTGAAGTGAAATAACTAACGAAACAATTATTAACGAAAAAAAAGGTGCCATAATAAAAATTATTCGTCTACAATATACAACACATAACAGTCAGTATATATATATAAATTAATATATATATATACACACACAAATATATATACAAGTTGGTTTGCTTAAAAGGAAAAATAGTCAAGCTGGGTTCACAGGTGTCCTCAAACAGTAGTGGAGCTTCCCACTCTGATGAAAGTAAGTCAAGTGACACCCAGGCTTACAAACAGTTTAGTCATGATAGACCAACTTCAAAGCTAATAAATTCAAGACCTACTGCTACTCAAGCTCAATCCACTAGTCCTCACTTCAATCACACTAATCATAATGGAAAAAAGAAAAAAAGAAGCGATAAAATATTTGAGATTAGTAAGCCAACAAAATTTGAACATGGAATTCATGTAGAATATAATAACGAAAGTGGCAAATTCGTGGTAAGTATCGAGTATAATTAATTAATTTTAATTTCTATTTTTATTATTATTATTATAATAATAATACTTGCTATTTATTAAATTTCATTTATTTCACCATTCATTCCTTATAAAATCTATACATTCATTTACTTATTCATTCATATCCTTAGGGATTGCCAGATGTTTGGCAAAAAAATTTACCAAGTGATGATATACTTAATACAAAATATATAAATCCACTTTTAGTTCCAACTCTTGAACCATCTGGTATTTCCTTTCCCTCCGTTAATAATAATAATATTTATTATTTTAAAAATTTTAATTCATATTATTATATTTATATATTAATAAATAGATGGAAATGGAGCACCGGGTAAAAATATAGGAATACCCTATAATTTTAAACATAATGTACATGTTGGACTTGATGAAGCTGGATTTATGGTATGTCCAAATAAATTCATTCAGTGCGATTTTTAATTATTCATATATAAATACGTAAACAAATAATTAATTATTTAGCAACCCATTCAAATTTAATTTATACATAAATCGATAAAATATTATACAAACAAAAACCAAACCAAATAGGTTATACCGCCAGAATGGAAGGCCCAACTTGAATCTGCAGGAATTACCGAAGATGATTTTAAAAATCGTCCCGAAGCAGTAAATAGATTATTACATATGTTAGCAAATGATAATCAGCAACGTCAAATTTCCTCCTTATCTTCAATTACTAATATTGCACATCAGCGTTCTGTATCCTTGGGTTCTCACACTCCACAACCTTACATACTTCCATCACCTTCTCCCGCCCCATCAACTCTTAATGTCAATGCTGACAATTACAATAACAATGGCAACAATTATCCAACCTTAATAAGGAAAGGTTCAGCATCATTATTAAAATCTCCTGTCAGAAAATATTCAAGTCCTTCTCTTTATCACACTCAACCAAATGACTTATTTAATAATTCTTCGGAATTAATAGATTCACCGAACTATCACAACAGAAACAGTAATAATAATATAAATAGTCAAAGAAAAGGTTCGGCAAGTTCACAAAATTCTGCAAATGAATCAACCAGCTCATTTCCTTTCACCAACACATATTACGACACTCCTTCGATAGCTTCTCCAAGATTACCAAGGACTTCTAGTTTGTCTTCCCCAATAAAAGAATCCCAATCTACCATCAATAACACAACTAGTTATTCGTCTCAAAATCAAAATCATTATAATTATAATTATAATAGCGATAACAATGATTCATTTATCAACAGTCCTGTTTCTCCAAGAAAATACTCAAATTCTTCTTCTTCTTCAAATAATAACACTACGCATTTAAGGGATTCTACAAGTTCAATAATAAATAATAATAAAGATAGGCCTATTTCTTCCACTTCAAAAACAAGTGATTATCCTTATTCTCCTATAACAATGCGTGACAGGCCAACGTCACCAATTCCATCCTCACGAGACAGGCCACTGTCACCAAATCCATCGTCGCGTGACAGACCAATGTCACCGATTCCATCTTCACAAAAATCACCTTATAAAATAAGAGATTCTCGTGGCGCAGAAATAATTAATATTCCACCACCACCTAACTATCGACCCACATCACCTATACTTCCACCACCACGTAACAACAGCAACAACAACAGCAATAACAATCCTCTAAAAGTAGGTGTAATTCCACCAATTCCTACCACAAAAAAAATTGAACCACCTCCAAGACCTCCCCACAGACAAAATAAAGCCCGACCAATTAGCCAAAAAGTTGAGGAAGAATCATCATCATCATCATCATCATCATCACCTAAAAAATCCAAATTTAACATACCAAATACTACAATTACTACAACCACTACTACATCACAAAAGTATTTATCAGATTCAATTTCTAGTTCGCAAAAAGACTATATCAAGAATATTCACAATAAAAAACAATATAGTGTTGGTTCACTGCCAGCATTGTATATAAATAATGAAAATATTATAGAAAGTAAAGGATATACTAATAATGATGATGATAATAATAATGATGATGGTAATATTGGTGCAAAAAATGATTTATTGAGTCTAAAACAAGATAAAAAATTACGTTCTTCTACCAATTCTTTGCCCAATTACCTTCCCTCTATGAACGATTCTGCTAGCAATAACAATAATAATGCAAATAATAATAATTACAAATTGAATGTAATAGTAAGTTCTTCTATTAAAAAAAGTTCATCATTATCAAATATTCCATATGAAAAGGAACAAAAAGAAAAATCATCGTTTTCAAAAAAGTATTCAGCAATCACAGAATCGACATCACCGTCACCAACAATATCACCATCCACATCACCATCCATATCAACGCCTTTATCAATGCCAATATCAACGTCATCATCGATAAGACAGAATGATGATGATTCAGTGCAATCCTATATAAATCCTGATTTGTTACCGAAAGAAATTCGTCATTTAGGTTTGTTTCAAAGTTTGTTATTGCTAATATCATTACCATTATCATTACTTATATAAAATTATTAAAATTATTTTTTAGTTGAAATTTTGGATATTGGAGAACCAAATGAAATTTACGATAACATGTTACCGATTGCTGAAGGTGATTCTGGAGAAATATATTCAGCATTACAAAAAAATGCTGATAGGATGGTAAAATAATAATTTCAATTATTATCATAATTATCATTACTACTATGATAAAAATAAAATAGCATTAATTGTAATATAATAATAATAATATTTAGGATGCAATTAAGGTTATTCCTTACGAGAAAACAAATAAATTGGATGTTGTAAAGAATGAATTAATGAGGATGAAATCAAGTCAACATCCAAATATAGTTGAATATATTGGTTGTTACTACACTGTTGATTCACTTTGGGTAGCGATGGAATGTATGGAAGCATCATTGGCTGATATTATATCGATGTATCCTGATGGTCCAAAAATCAACGAATTTCAAATTGCAAGATTTATGAGAGAAACACTAAAAGGCATCTCATATTTACACAAATCACGAGTCATTCATCGAGATATTCGAAGCGATAATATATTATTAAATAATAACGGTGACATTAAAATTGGTAATAAAATAATTCAAAGATAATTCATAATGTTAATTCCTAGAATTTAAAGAAAATTTAACTATAATAATGATGACATTAATTTATTATTACTTTATAGCTGATTTCGCACAATCTATACAATTGACCGACAAACAACCTTATTGTGATTCAGTGGTAGGTACGCCATATTGGATGGCACCAGAAGTTATATTAGGGTCACAATATGGCACCAAGGCTGATATTTGGAGTCTTGGTATTGTGATGATTGAAATGGCCGAAGGAGATCCACCATACATTGAACATCCCGGATTGAAGGTAAAAAAATTTTTTTGCATGTTATGAGACCAATTTATTTATCATTTATTTAATCAACTATTATTTTTATTTTTATAATAGGCAGTTGTAATGATAGCCAAACATGGAATTCCTGATTTAGTTAATCCTGAGAGATGGACAAAAATATTCAAGGATTTCCTTGCCAATTGTATAGAAACTGATACAACTAAACGAAAATCTGCAGATGAATTGTTAACAGTACGTATTATTATGCAAAAATATTATTATTAACAATCCTGCTATTATTTAAAATATTAAATTGAATAATTACATTTCTTATTAATAATACATACTAATTAAACAACTATTATTTAATTAGCATCAATTTCTACAAAATGTATCGACAAACAGTGAGATTCAGAGAATGTTGCAAGAATTTCGTATGCTTGAAGGGAATGAAAGAGGGGAGGGGGAGGAGGAAGAAGAAGAAGGAGATGAAAATCATAATGTTAATGGTGATATCAATCAAAATGATGTGAAGAAAGAATATCATAATGTTAATGGTGATATCAATCAAAATGATGTGAAGAAAGAATATCATAATGATTATGATTATGATTACGATGATGATAATATAATAAATGATTACGGTTATGAAGAAGATCATAATGAAATATATTCTGGATATGTAAATATTGTTAGCAATAATGGAAATGAGGAGGTAGATGATGATGCTGATTATTATATTAATAGTATTTCAAATAATTTTGACGATTCTAGTATTGGATAATTATAATATTGTTTTTGTGGGAGGGGTGGGGTTGGGAAGAAAATTTGGAAAAAAAAATTTTTTTGAACATTTAATTAATTATATTTATTTTAATTTTAATTTATTTAATAATTAATTATATTGGCAATAATTAGAGTTTTTTTAGTAATACTTAATAATAATAATAATAATTTTTCTTTTTATTTAAACAATTTTTTTTTCCACATAAAATTTAAATTTTTCGATTGTTTATTTGTTTTTTATTAAGAGAAGCAAACATTTAATATAATATATATATATTATATTATGTATTATATTTAATTTTATTAGTGACTAGAGTACATAAATCCTAGTAGCGTTAGGTTAATTATTTAGTATTGAATGAGCAAGGATTTTTTTTTGTTTTGAAAAGAAGAAAAAATCCAAAAACATTTATGAATGTAATTATTAATTTTGTTAATTAAATAATTAATTAATTAATCAAACCAAACCAAACATTTTTAATCATTAAAACAAAAAAAACACCATTTATATTAATTGTGATTCTTCTTTTTCCAAATAAATGTTAATCCATCAAAAATTGGTAATAGCAATTGATCAACCCTTGGATCATTTTTCACATATTCATTAAATTCATGTATATGTTTAGCTACTCCCATCTTTGATGGTGGTATAATTTGTGTAGTTGGTGTGGTGATGGATAAATGAGGCACTTTTTCAACATAACCACTATAAAGCACTTTTATATTTTTTTCCTCAATTGTTAATATTTCATAATTTGATATTTCATGATTAATTAATTAATTAAAAATAATATTTACCATTGTCAACAATAATGAATCCATCGTCACTTAATAGGTCACAATCAAGTATAATGTTTAAATAATTAATATAACCAGACTTATTTGCATCTAAAATTATTAAATGTATAACAAAAATTAATTAGTGTTTTGATGCCAAAAAATCATAAACATTACTTGCCTAGGAAAATCATATCAAATTTCTTTGACTTTTCTAAATTTTTTATTCTAAAAACAAAACAAAATTTAAAATATATATAAATTACAAAATCATAATCATATATTAATATTTACGTGTCAATAGCATTTCCAACTTTTACTTCAATCAGATCACTGAATCCACAATACTCGATATTTTCTTTGGCTTTTTTCGCATAATCAGGATCAAGTTCACAAGTTACTATTGTACTTTTATTATTACTTGCAATTCCACTTTTTCGTAATCCTTCAGCAAAACACAAACTGGAATAACCGAGAAAACATCCAAGTTCAAGAATGCCTTTTGGTTTAATTATAGAAGTTAAAAATGTCAAGAATGAACCTTGAAGTTCGCTAATAGCATAATTTTTTCTTGAATGATTCAATGTTTGTTGATATATTGTTCTTAGAGCATCAGGTGGTGGTGTGGAATGTTCGGTTGCGTATGGACCAGAATTTAAAAATAAAAATGGAAATTGTGCCCGGAAACTATTTGTAGTATGAAAAGCTTTCTTGGAAATATCATTTGCACTCTTGGATATCAATAATTTATAATGTTGGTGCAATAATTGACGACGATAATGATAAAATTGTGAATACGGAAGGATTGAAATTTTTTTAAGGAATTTCATGCTCAATTTTTTTATATTTTATGACGAGTCCCATTCTCCAAAAAGGTATAAAACCGGTTTATTTGCTAATTGTCGATTTTTTTTTTTTTAACCTTTTTAAAAAAAAATTAAATGGATTCAACAATTTTGGAAAAATATTTCAATGAAAATGAAAGATTATTAAATACAGAAGATTTTTATGATGTAAAAATATATCTTGGTGTAGAACCAAACATTAAAGAAGTTCATGCACATGCATCCATCATATCTGCTCATTGTCCATTTTTTAGCAATGTATTAAATGATGCAACAAAAGAAAATGGATATTATATTGTTAAGGAAGCTAATATTAGTGAAAAATTTTTTAAGCCTATTCTCAAGTAAGTTTAAATAAATTTATTATTTATTTATTTATTAATTAATTGAATGTATATTAATGATAATAACCTGTTTAATGAAAGATTCCTATACACATGTAAAATTGATTTTGAAAATTATTCTGGAGCTGAGATATTAGAACTAATAATTGCAGCAGATCAACTTGGTATTGAGTCATTTTATGAATATATTATGAAATACTTTATTGAAAATTGTGAAGATTATATAAAAGAAAGTCCAGTTAAAATTTTACAATTAATTTATGGTAATGAAAAATTCAAGGAATTGAAAAATATTTATTTGGAAAAATTTTGTGAATATAGTGAAAAATTATTTGAATCAAGTGAATTTGAATTGTTGGAAAAACCAACTCTATTGGAAATTCTCAAAAGAGATGATTTTTCTGTTAATGAGATGGTTATTTGGGAAAATATTCTTAAATGGGGATTGGCAAAACATCCAGAAATCAATAATATCAATGTTGAGGATTGGTCATCACAAAATTTTGCTGATTTAAGCAATACATTAAAAGAATTTCTTTTTTTAATAAGATTTCAGGATGTTTCTCGAGATGATTTTTTTAATAAAATTGAGCCATATCAAATGCTTTTCCCCAAAACTTTATGGAAGCCCCTTTTACATTATTATATATTTCCTGATAGACAACAAATATTGAGTTTATTACCATCAAGGAATCCTGAATTTAAAATTTTGAATTCAACACTTGAATCATTGACAATCAATCAAAAACTTACTTTACTTTTTGCAAGTTGGATTGATAGAAAAAGTCCACAATATAGTTCATTAAAGGAAGTTAAATATGAATTCAAACTTATATATCGTAGTAGTAGAGATGGTAATAGTGTAGCTACATTTCATCAAAAATGTGATAATATCAATAAAACTCTTGTAGTAGGCAAAATACAAAATTCAGATCAATTAGTAGGAGGTTATAATCCACTTGATTGGAATTTAAATAATGGAAATATCATATTTAAAAATACAACTGAAAGTTTTATTTTTAATATTAGAAATAGAAATGATATTAATTCTGCACAATTTAGTTATGTTATTAAACAAAAAGCAATTTACTGCCATCCTTCAGATTTGGCTATTTTTGGTAATACTTGTGATCTTATTTTTAGAACATATAATACTGTTGAGTGTTATGGTGGTAATTATAATAACATTAATATAGTAAATCATAGTAAATATGACGAATTAGAAGTATTCCAAATAATTGATAAATAAAAGTTTTAATACTATTTTAAGCAATAAATTTATATACATGTATATTATATTTTAAAGACTATTTCTCTTTATACTTTTCTCATTAATGATGAACAAAAATGTCTGACCACACATACATAATAATAAATATAAAATTTTATGTTGCTTAGGTTTTGAAGTGTATACGTATTCATAACTTTTATTCTAAAAAAATAAATTTCTTTCTCAAAATAAAACTCAAATAAAAAACAATGGTATCTAGTTGGCCACCAATTGTTAAAATACATGCTCCGGTCCTTTTAATGGAATTCCTCTTTCAGAATAGCCTTTAATTCGCTCATTTTTTTGAGGTTAGGTGATTGTGAAGGCAGTCCCCCCCTCAATCTAATTTGATTATTAAACTCATTTATAATTAAAGGTAAATTCTCCTCCAAAATTAAACACGAGTTGGTCGAAATATTGTAAATCACTCCATATCACTGACTTCCACTTCCTAACACTCCGGCTTTCAACCATTTTCTCTTTGTTTTCATCAAAGGGGCGTTATTGCTCCAACTCATGAATAAATCTTAAGATTATGAAAGTTCCTACAAATCGTTTGGTAGAAATCTCAATGCCACTTGCTTCTATGAGTTTCTCTTTTAGTTGATGATTATTTTCCTTTCATATCAGCCGATTTGGTTTTTGGGGCCTTTTTTTCAAACCTTATGTCTTATTGTCTCGATGTTAAACACGAGTATTTTTAATGTGTAAACTGGTCGGTAGAATGATAATTAACCCTAAAAAAATTATTTGCTCCGCTAAAAAAACTAATTTACTATCCATAAACCCGTCAAACCAATGGCCTCACCTCAAAACCAATGGGTTTTTGCTAGTATAAAGTATTCATAACGTTATGATCATACCATACTGGATTTTGGGGTT